GAAATAACGCGAGAACCCGCATGCGTCAGACCGGAGTTCTCGAGCAAGACTGGAATTATAAAATATATATATAACCCGCAAAATGTCTGTGAGCTGATTTCCAGCTACAAGGAGAAAAAGAAAAACAGATTATGCAGGAGGGAGATGCAGGGAACAGGGATTGGGTGTTCTGCAAAGAGAGTTGGAGGTAAATAATTTTGCAGTAACTTATGCTGATGTTGTGGCTGGGCAAGCAAATGTTTGTGCTTGTCTGTATGATATAATTGTTCATGCATCTATTACAATACTGATATTCTGGTCTATAACTCCTCCCTGAACTTCCCGCTGCCCTGTATCTTGGTCTCTCACTGGCTGTAGGTCATCGCCGATGTAGTTCAGTCAGAAATCATTGTACACAGCGTGATTGTGAATCGCCGACAGCTCCAGATATTTTGCATGCCAAATATTTCACGGGCGTCGGCGATTCCCTCAGATAGAGTCTTTGATAATTCACACTGCATGATTGTCACTCGCGTGAGCGAGCACCGATTTGCCTCCGATTTCGGGCATTTGTCGGCGATTTCGCAAAACCTGTCGGCGAATGAAATCGGGCTAAAACCGTGCAGTGTGAACTCGGCATTAGATGTTCAAATAGCTGCAGTAGGGATGGGCGTATCGGTCCGAAGTATCGATATAGATACTAACGCGAGTATCGAAAGTAGTATCGATACTTAAACAAAAAATAGATACTAAGGTGTGTTTTATTTACCAGTGATTGTTTATTTAACAAAAATAATGCGTACAATATGCATTGAATTGGACGAATAACCTTTGTTAGCAAGTAATTGTGTAGGATAGAACTATTTTCCTGCTCATCTGAACACGCAAATGTTGCAAGACCGAACTAATCACAGAAAGCGTTCACTCACTTCTGACAGTACATTCAAACAGGGCTGATTTTCCCAAAAGTATCAAAGCATTAAAGCTTTTGGGAACGGCAGCCCTGAACAATGCTTATCAGGAGGACAGAAGGACAGTTATTTCACAAACAAACTGAAATTGTAGCCTACATAGTTTGTGCAATTACAGTTATTTAAATTGAACGTTGAAAGATAATTGATCATGTTCTATTCTGTAATGTTAATAGAATAAAAAGGTTGCATTTTATGCATGCAACAGCCTGTCACTGGCAGTCCCTTATGAAAATTAACCATGGTTTTACTAAAGTGACCATAGTTCAACTGTAGTATTTATAGATTTGAATCGTGTAAACAAAAAAACATTTGAACCGTGTAAACAAATATAACCTAATAAGTTACAATTAAGGCATATTGAATGTTAAAAATGAGTTTTAAACAGTGCTTATCATTATCCATTTTACTCAGTAATTTAATACACTTCATAATTTAAAAGTTTAGTTCAGAAGTATCGAATCGGTATCGACGATACTGCCTTAAAAGGTCGGTATCGTATCGAAAACAAAATAAGTGGTATCGCCCATCCCTAAGCTGCAGTACTCCGGGTTTGCCACAAGGAAGTGTGTACGCCTGCTCAGACCCTGACATAGCGGTAAGTACTATTCCACATCAAAGACCACATTAAAACGTATAAGCCATAAACAAAGCCAACCAGCTAGAAGGTGAATCAGCACATTACATTACTATTAAGCAAAACAATTTGAAAATCAGACAAAAACAAAAGGTACAGGACTGTACTTAAAGCAGCACTATCTAACCTTTTGTTCAAAATTTGCAAAATTAATATAATGAGCGAGTACATCATGAATTCATCTTCCAAACCGCGTTTGTCTTATTCCGAATCACTACGGTACACTTATAATACCGGTAAGTACTTATATTTGGACTATTGTAGCCTGGTCGGGTCGTCACCGCTGCGGAGTAACATACCTGCGTGAATCGCCATAGACAAACTTAGAGAAGTAGCTCCGGTTGGAATGTTTTTCCAACATTTTTATGGTTCATAGTTTTTAATAAATATGAACGTTGCCGTGGATTTTAGCGTACGCACACTCGAAGATCAAATCGGTGCATACGCACATTTTATAAATGAGGCCCACGGTTGTCGGCCCAGGATGCCAGGCCCTTTAATCCCCTGGGAGCTCCGTAGGCCAAGGAGGACGAAGCCGCTCCGAAGAAACTGCCTCCCCTCGCGCCCGGACCAAGAGGGGAGCGCGTGCGGCCGCCGGACTCCGCCCCTTAACTGGACCCTTCCTTCTCGAACACTGCCCCACCTTCACATTTCCCCACACAACAAAAGGACACCAGATCCGTTTATTATTATTATTATTTTTTTTTTTTTACACCATTTCCCCTTTGGACACTTTATTCCTGGTTTTGGACATTTTGTTGATTTTCTGTTAATCTCCGAGGCCTGACGCTACACCCACTGCGTCTGTCGTTTGCTCCTCCCGCCACAATGCATTTAATGTATAATAACAACAACATTCTGTTCTGTGAATGCATTGTCTGCTGGTTTATTTAGCTACTTTTCAGTACACCACATTAAGTATGCCACTTAGTACTGCAAGACTTTGAATGATCAGAATCAGAAAGAGCTTTATTGCCAAGTATGTTTGCACATACAAGGAATTTGTTAGTGTCACAAGCTTCCAGTACACGGAGACAACAACAACACACAGATAATAAAAATGAGATGTGAATAAAATATACATGCATAAATATAAGTTATGCAACATAAGTTATGATAAAGTGCAAATTAACACGTAGAAGGGTAAAAACATGCCAGGCAGACATTGGCATGATGTAAGAAACACAGCTACAACAAATAAAATTGATAATGGATGCGTTACAATTATAGTGTGAGAATAAATCAACCCAATGTAAAATTTTGCTTATGGCCACATAAAGGCTTGGGCCAGCCCTGACATGGGCTGTTCACTATGGATGTTCTGCAGTTACAAATGGCTCATATCACATGTTAACACGTCTAAATAAGATTGCATTTTCGGAAACGGTCACATTGTTTTTACCGACACCACAAGATTTGGGGATGTAATTTAGTTTCTCTTCCACTCCATATTAATTTAACAAAGCCATGATCTTCAAAAATGAACCAGAAGACCTTGCACAGCTGGCCCAAGCGGTTTTGCTGGACAGTAGATCAAGTCCTAGATAAGCACTAAATTAATTGTGAAATATTCAGGTCTACGTGTGTGAGTGAGTGAGTGAGTTAATTAATTTAATTAATTAATTAATGTGCCCTGTACATGTCGCTTAAGGATCACATTTCCAGTTGCATAACTCTATAAGCTTTGGAAAGGTCACAGCTGGTGCCGAGGATCTCACATTGCAGAGACAGACCAGCCAGTAAGAGACTTCAACTGATTGTTGGGTACTGCATTGTGAACACTGTATGAAATGGCCATGAAAGTCAGACTCAAAGCGAACACTGACCCTAGAGTAAAAAGGGTGGCAAAAAGGCCAAGTACACAGATTAAAGGTTAGCTCACCCAAAAATGAAAATTAGCCTGCGTTTTACTCACCCTCAAAGCATCCTAGGTGTATGTGACTTTCTTCTTTCAGACGAACCCAATCAGAGTTATATTAAAACTGGTCCTGGCCCCTCAAAACCCTTTAATGGGGGCAAGCAGGTATTCGGTTGTCAACAGTTCAGAAGACGTGAAAAAGTGCACGCAACCATAATAAAACGTCCCTCACATGGCTCCGGGGTGTGAATAAAGGCCTCCTGTACCAAAACCATGCGTTTTTGTAAGATAAATATCCATATTTCAAACGTAATAAACCCTTATCTCTCACTTCCGTTATTCTGTCATATGCGGAACGCATTCTGGCAGATGACGTAGGATGTCGGCGTTGTGTGATTGGTGGCGAGCGCAGAGAGAAAACAAAACGCTGGTCACGAATTAGAAGCACAAAACGAGGATTTCGATATAAGCCAAGAGGACGCTGGTTTTCCTTTGCTAAAGTAATGAAACCATTTCCTTTGCTCCTGCATTTCTCAGAGGCTTGTACACGACGCCTACGTCATCCGTCTGAATGTCTTCCTCGTAAGACAGTCAGCGGAAATGAAAAAAAAAAAAAAAAAAAAAAAAGTTT